GGCAGAAAGATATTTCTAAATTTGTGTGGCAAGGTAAAAAACCAAGAATAAAATATAAACTATTACAGGATGCCAAAGAAAGAGGTGGGTTAGGTCTTCCAGATTTAAAGTTATATTTTGATTCTTGTTGTCTGGTATGGATGAAAGAATGGATGACTTTACAAAACACGTTACTGGAATTAGAAGGACATGAGTTAAGATTTGGATGGCATGAATACTTACGGTATGACCAAGTGAAAGCTAACACTGATTTTAAGAATCATTTTATCAGATGTTCTATATTGAGAATTTGAAATAGATATAAGGTAAAATTGTCTCCAAAAATTCCTCTATGGTTGTCACCTCAAGAAACTTTTTATAGAAGAGAAATGATGGTTAAACAACCATGGTTGACGTATGCAACTCTCTTATCGTTTTCTGAAGGAGAACCTAACCTGAAGAAGAGAGAAGAATTAGAATCAGAAGGTTTTGTTTGCTAATGGTTTATATACGCACAGTTGCTGGAAAGATTTAAATTAGATAAGAAAACTATGAATTTACCACTGAGAAAACTGAGTTTGAATATACTTTGTGTACTAACAATGGACATCTTATTGCTAAAATGTATAAACTTTTGTTAAAGGTGAATTTGGAAGATGAATATGTTAAAGATTGTATGGTTAAATGGGGAAAAAACTGGATGTAACATAATGTTGGATCAGTGGGAAAATATGTGGAATAAAGGGTTAAAGATTACTCTTAATTATACGTTAAAAGAAAATTTCTATAAAATGATATACTGTTGGTATTTGACACCAGATAAATTGTCAAAGATGTATAAAGGAATCTCAAATGTCTGTTGGAAATGTAATCAATGTGAAGGCACATTCTATCACTTATGGCAGACTTGTGAAAAGGCTAAGAAATATTGGAATATGATATATACTTTGACTCAAAAGATTTTGAAAATAGATTTGCAGTTGAAACCAGAGACTTTTCTTTTAGTATATACTTTGACTCAAAAGATTTTGAAAATAGATTTGCAGTTGAAACCAGAGACTTTTCTTTTAGTATATACTTTGACTCAAAAGATTTTGAAAATAGATTTGCAGTTGAAACCAGAGACTTTTCTTTTAGGTATGATGGATAAACAAGTGGAAAGACAACATCAAAATGTATTTCTTTATATGATAACTGCGGCGAGACTTTTATATGTGCAAAAATGGAAAGATATACAAATACCTACTGCTGAAGAATGGACACTGAAATTAATGGAATTGGCTGAGATGGCAAAACTCACTGCTTTGCTCAAAGACAGGGCACTGTCTAACTTTGTCTCTGATTGGAAACCACTCTTAGACTTTTGCTTGATACTCAAAAAAATGCAACTTTGATTTTGGGATTTGCTGCTTGATGTTATAGAAATATCTTCTATATACAAAATCTTCTATCATATACAAATCATATGCATTATCCAAACAGATTAATTTTTAGGAATTTTTCTGAAGGTTAGATTAAAAATTATTTTTCATTATGTAAATTTTTAGATATTAGAGTAAGAAGCGAATACATTTTCTACTTATACCTGTACCAAGGGAAGTCAGAAGCTACTCTCTTTTTCTTATGCTCCCTTACTTTTTTGGATAATAATAATAATAATAATTCTACACAAGGTAAGCTATCAAAAGTTTTTTTTTTAAAATTTGATGGACAATTTAGAGCTTATTGATGCATGGAGACATAAACATGGCAATTCAAGATATTATATTTATTTTTCTGAAAGGCATACAGTAGATCTTTTTCGAGAATAGACATGATTTGGATTTTGAAGAATTTGACTACTAAGGTTCATAGATATTACAAAAGACCTTTTCAGATCATAATCTAGTGAGTTTGGTTTTAAACAGGAAATCCAGCTCTTTTAGATGAAGACTGAATGAAATGCTACTACA